ATTAATTTGGACAAATCTGTACAAGAAAATTAAAAAAAAACATTAATTTATCTTCAAGCACAGTTAAATACACTTGGTATCCTGTTTTATATACTGCCTTGTAAATACATAAAGCTGTACATTTCCTTAGCACATGGCTGTGTGGAGGACAGCAGTTGAATTTGGAGTTCTAGCTGGCCAGCAAGCCACAGTGTCTGCCAGTCCTGTGCCTCAGCACTGGGGTTACAGATACACATACCACACCCAGCACTTTAAATGGGTGCTGAATACCAGAGCCAGGTCCCCATGCTTATGTAGCAGAGACTTTACCTACCTCGCAGTCACCCCAGCCCATAAGAAACAATTTGAACTAGCAATATAAAAATTAAAATCAGTAGTTTCTTGAAAACCCAAGTGCTCAAAAAACAGTGATTCCAGGCAAATGCTGGCTAAATGTATAAAATAAATTAATACAGAACTTCTAACATACCACAGAGATCTACAAAAATCACTAATGATACAACTTCATGACAAAACATCTCTCCCTAGAAGATAAAATGTGGACACAAATTAAATGGAAAAAGAGTCAAAGGGTTTTTTGTTTTGTTTTGACTTCCAATTCACCCTCTGTTGCCCATCTTATTTTACAGTCCTGGTAGTGTTTCTAAATTCTAAACAAATACTGACTTGGAGGTTCTAGAAATGGAAAATTCTGGGAACTCCAAGTTATATTTTCACTCACCATTATAGATACCTTTAATACATTTAACAAGTAAGAAATGTTAAGTTTAATACTGTCCCAAGTACTGAAGCAATGGAGAATGCCAGCAAACCTTACTGGTACTATTCTGATAACTTAACAGTGGGAATGTAGGTCAACAGTACTACCAGAATCTTAATTTCAAGTTATCAATTTATAATGTGATTTTGCTTCCAAAATTTATTACTCCTTAGTATATTATTCTATACACTTTTCTTTAACAACAACAACAACAACTTTTATCTATTGTGTACATGTGTATAGACTCATTTGCCATGGTGTGCATGAGGAGGTCAGAGGAAAAATGCAAGAACTGGCCCTCTTTGTACTAAGGACTAAACTGAAGATGGCATAAGTAGAATTAAGAGTCTTTACTGGCTGATATCTATACCCTCACCCCTCTCTCTCACTCACTCACTGGCTATCTTTTTTTTTCTTTTGTCTTTTAATGCATTGTCTTGCTGTATAACCCTAGACCTAGATAGCCTGGATCACATCCATTGGGTGGCCCAGCCTGGCCTCAAACTGATTTTTTTCTTGCCTCAAGTTCCCAAGTGTTGGGATTACAGATGTGTACTACAATACCTAACTCTGTATGTTTTAAAATTCCTTCTTATAGTGTGCTGGTGAGATGGCTCAGTTGTTAAGAGCACTCACTGGTTGCTCTTCCAGAGGATCTGAGTTCAATTCTATTGCTCATGACCATTTATAAAGGGATCTGATGCCCTCTTCTGGCCCTCACTATTTACACTGTTAACAACCAGCTCCATCCCCTACTGTAACAGCAGCAGCCACAAGCAAGAGTCTTTCATTAGACCAAACAGCCTCCTCTACCACAGCCTGTCCTGTTTCCTTCAACGCCTCATCAGCTGTGAGCTCCCTCAGCCATGTCTCTCAACCTTCCTTCCACCTGACATACAGGAATTTCTCAAACAAGTAACACTTTAATGTTGGATTTTCAGATTTAACTGTTATGGAAGAATTATTTACTTTTCCCCAATTTCCTGACTTTTCAAATGACTTTCTTTGGGATTCATGATTTCAAAAACATATCAAAATGCCAGGAAGAAATTCCCATGAGTAAAAACTAGTCTTTATGTTTCCTTTGTTCAATTTAAAAAAAAAAAATTAGGGTTTGAGGGTTTTTTTTTAAAGATTTATTTACTTTTATTTCATGTATATGAATGTGCATGAGTGGTCTGCCTACATGTACACACATGCACCATGTGCATACCTGGTCCCAAGAAAGGCCAAAAAGAATGCTCAATTCTCTCCAACTGGAGTGTTGGATGATTGTGAGCCGCCATGTGGGTGGTGAGCACTAAAGCTAGGTCCTCTAGAAGAACAGCCAGTGCTCTTCACTTCTCAGCCATCTCTCCAGCCACCAGGATAATTTATAAATAAAAAAAAAAACTCTCTGGGCAGTATTCTTAAATACAGAAAACACTAGGAAGTGCTAGTTGCACAGTCTGCTGAGATGCAGTGGTTCAGTGAGAGGACATGTTCTACAAAAGTTTCCACAGCATTTCACACTGTCACCCTCTGCTTCTAGAAGACATTACTGAAAGGAAGACACCGAGTCATAGAGGTAAAGGGCTGACAGGAAATTCGACTGTAGGGAGACACACAAGAAGGCTTAGAAATTCACTACTCCTCAGAACACCTTTGATTTGTGTTAGCACAAAGGCAATATTCCCATATCCACAAAGTGAGCCTTTGCATGCGTCATCAACAGAGGAAGGAGCCCAGTACCACTTCCTCTGAGCAAAGGCAAGAAGAGTTCACAGCTTTAAATGTTTTCACAGAAAGGCAAAGTTAGTACTAACTAGACTCTCCCATCTGAATTACAAAGGTCCAGCTAACAGCAAGCTCCTTGGGAGTTTGAGGGCTTGTATTAGTACAACTAACTATCCAACTGAAAAGAACATATATTCACATGACAATACTAACCAACTGTATCTCATCCTAAGCCATTCTGCTTTACAAGTGTGAAAACTGAGACTACTGTCAAGCAACCTCTCCACTCACACACCTGTGTTGCCACCTATTTTCCATCAGAGTACTTACCTACACTCCATAGCTAGAGGGACAGAATTACCATATTCTCTAGTAACTATGTGACTGTCCCTATGTTACAACATATTTGCAAAGAAGAATCTATCTTAATCACACTCAACAAATGAATTTCTCGCCATCCTACACAGCTGTTTAATGCTCCTTTCTCCTCATTAGTATTTCTACTCATTAATAAATTTTCATTAAGTATTAAACTATGTAGGGGCTAGAGAGATGACTCAGTTGGTAAGGTGCTGGGGAGAACCTGTGTCTGATCCCCAGAATGAAAGTAAAAAAGACTAGACATGGTGACACATGCTTGCAATTCCTGAGCTGGAAGTTAGAGACAGATTCCTGGAGATAAACTCACTGGGTAAAATCCAAGCCAATGAGAAACCTGCATTTTTTAAAAAATTGGATGGAACCTGAGCAATTACATTTGAGTGCATGCACGTGCACACACACACACACACACGAACATAAACACATATGCACAAAATCTTCTATGAGCAAAGCCACTATGAGCTAGCTAGGAAGCTATATATTCACTTGGAATATATAAATAAGACACACTTAAATTTGGGATTGGGGAATGTAAAATGCTATTATTATATGAATGTCAAATTTAGTTTTAGCATCCAGTATACATTGCAGGAGAAGTAACTCCTAAACGCAGAAATGATAGCTCAGGAAACCGAAGTCAGTTCTGCTTTTAGAGACCAGGACTGCTAACATGGAAGCACCAGCTATTCAACACTCAACCTCAAAGCTTTAAAGGCAAGATCACAACTACTAAGTCCAGTAAATTATTCTTTCAAAGGACAGGAAGGGGGGGGGAGTAAAAACAAAACAATAAAAACAAAAGACAAAACATAGATTATAGAGATTTAAAATATATTAACTAAAGGTAACATATGACCCTTGTGCAGGTCCTAACTCAACTAAACTGATGGTGAAGCAGATTATGAAATAGGAAATAGGATCACTGACTGTATCATAGAAGATATTTAGAAACATTGTCAATACTCTTCAGGTGCAGTGTTAAGACTGTAATCATTTTCAAAGTGCTTATGCTTCATAAATACCCATTAAAACATTTACAAATATAAGGATATTCTTGAGGGCTCAGGTATAACTCATGGTAGAACACATACCTAACATGTGTAAGGTCCTGGGTTTTATTCCTAGCACCTCAAAATACAAGAGGGAGGAAAGAAGCGGTCCTAGATTCTTCAATTTAAAAAGGCATCTGTAGCTGGCATTGTGGCTCATGTCTTTAATCACAGCACTTGGGAGGCAGATAGATGAGGGTTTGAGGGCAACACGGTTCATGTATCAAATTCCAGACCAACTACACCTGATTTAGACCCTGTCTTCCAAAAAAGGGCTATCCTTAGTATGTTCCAAAGTAATTTAAAAGGAGGTGAAGGCAGGAACTGAGTGAAAGAACAGGCAAGAGAAGGCAGATGAGATATTGCAGAGTAGTGGGCACACAGTAAACAGTTTTTGCTTTTACATTTTTTAAACTGTTTCACATTATTTAGAAAAAAATTGATCCTATTTATAGACAGGACAGGTCTCCCAAGTGTCTACGCGTTCTTTCTCCTATGAAGGACTCATGGGTGTGGCACTCTGACTCCTGCCTCCCCATCACACCTACTCTTCATTTGAGCCTCTCCTTCTTTCCTCATCCACTCTGTGGAAGAAAATCCCATGTCCTCCTAGGCCATCTACCAACCACTGCATGACCCTGTTTGATGCTACAACTTCCCCAGCATCACCTGCAATACACTCTTTAAAAGGGAGGTCCCCACTGTATTTCTATGGTTTTCAGAGCAAACCACTACTCAAGTGAAGCAGACAAGAGTGATGGTCTCAGTGGCAAAGGAGTCTGATCCTCTGAAGCTCCACACTGCCACTAAAGAAGTATCAATGGCCTTCACTAAAGAGACTGTTGACAACTATTTTTTAAAAGGAAATTGCAACACATCCTTAAATCTCACAACAATAACTCATATGGATATGTCAGCACAGTGGAGGCTATGATTCTTCTCACTTGAGAAAGAACTCCTTATGAGCAAGCAAAATAGTCTCCTTAATAATCCGTCCCTATCTCTACAAACCAAGTGGTGTACCCCAAGATCACATTGTACTGAGAATTCATCTTCCGTAATGAAAACTGGCACAGGCACAAAGCTGATATTACCTTGTATCTCATCTTGGGACAGGAATGAATGTAGAAACCCATGTAATAGTAGCTGAGTTGTGATGTCTTCTCATGCAGTTGTCTAGTAAAAGCAATTTCTCTGCAAAAAAAAAACAGAAAAAAAACAAAAACAAAAAAAAATGAAACAAACTGTACAGTTAATTTTGTTTCAATTTTCAAATAAAACCTAATGGAAAGTATCAAAATATTCAATTCTTAAGAGAAAAAAATTTTTTAAAGCACAAGACAATTATTACTACAGAGATACCCCCAATAATCTCTAAATTATTTCAAATAAAAACTTCTAAGTTCAGATTTTATACTTTAATCAGAAAAAGAGCTGATCTACAACCAATATGACGTAAAATAAAGGTACTCACTATGCCCTAGAATGTTCAAGGAACCTGGGCTGTTTTAACAGCACAACAAAATTTTAAAAATTTAATAGCCAATAAATTTTAGGGAAAATTATATATGCATTTACAGACAGCCCCTCTGGCATATATGATTCCTAACTCTTTGTGTAGCACAGTGGATACACAATTCCCTTAAAATGAGAGGGAGGACTGATAGCACACCCTCTCTCCATGCCTTTTCTATTTGTTAGCAGAGTGAGGGGTGCTCAATCAGACAAGTGGAGATTTCACTGCAAGGCTTATATGTGAAGTGGTTGTAATTTGTAGTAAGAAAAATCTTGGCACAATGCTTCCCTGTTGGGAGCCGACTCCTAGCCGAAAGTGGCCATCATCTTTGCAGCCATCTCAGGCCATATACCCTGACAAGAGACTTGTTTTCAACAGCCCGAAACAGCTGAGCACACTCTGATAAACATCTTGTTTTTCTCACATATCTTGTTTTGCTGTTTAGTGCCACCAGCTGCAAGGCGCACATGATATCCACGCTGCAAGGCACATGACGTAGAGCCTTCAGCTGTGCTTGTCCACGAGGGCAAGGCACGTGGTAAAGGGTATAAATATCCAGGATTTCCTTCCAATGAACGAGACTTGATCAGACTCCCTGTCTTGTCTCCATCCTTCGCGTCTCCATCCCCACTCTCTCTCTTGCTAGGCCCTGACCCACGGACCGGAGCAGCAGAACAGGCAGCTACAAAGTGGTGCCTCAGCACTGGGCTCCAGTAAGCGGGATACAGTGAAGGACACAGCGGGAATTGGAAGTGTGCAACCTCACTCCTGCGCTGGAGACCCTGCTGACTGACCCAAACAGGTTGCTACACTTCCCTACTTGTCCAACTGAATAAGCAGGCTGTATAGGAGAGTGTTAATAATTTCTAAAGCATGAAAAACATTTTTTGCCTTTTGAAAGTTTTCTTTCTTGTTCTTTTTTATTTATAATAGTAGCAATGGATATATAACATTCAAGAGCTTTTATCTTCAGTGAGGGTTTCATTTTGTAGTGTAGCCTAGCTCATAATTTGCTTTGTAGCCCAGCTGGCCTCAAACTCACAATTTTCCAATCTCAACCTAAGTACTAATTGATGGAATACTCTGTTCATTTTTCAAGTACAAATTTAAATCTCTGAAAGGTTATCCAAAAAAATATTTAAAATGTTTGACAGAATAAGTGTTACTGTTCCTAGAACTAATCAATTTTCAAGACTCAAAATGAGGAAAGAATTATGAATCCAAGCAAACCCCAACACACCACAGCCACCCACACTCAACAGCCCTGGACCAAACACCGGCTAGTCAAGATGGCACTTGTTCTCTCAGCCCTGCCTACTATGGATCACTGCACTGCCACTTACTCAAATCCATGAGCCACCCTCAACTAGTCAAGTCATTGGGCTCTATCTCCAAAATACAGCCTGAATTTAACTACTTTTACTACCTCTAAGATAGTCTAGCCTTTAAACTGTTTCATCTAAAGAACAGAGATCAGTTACAAACCTTGTATAATAAAAGTTTGTTGATATATTAATATAAAAGAAAAATATCAAGTAGGCAATGTCAAGATGAGCATATGTGCACGCATATATATATATATATACATATACATATGCATATATATATCTTTACATGAGTCCTAGAGATGAAACTCAAAACAGTAGGCTTACCCAGAAAGCACTGTACCTGCTAAGCAATCTCACAGGAATCCACAATGATTTCTTATATTCACAGAGTATATAAAAACATTAAAAGCTAAAGAATTACCATCAAACAATGGCATCATTTCTAAAGCTGTTATCTTTTTGAGAAAGGTTTATTTTACTCTCCCCAGCACACACACACACAAACACATTACATGCAAGCTGCTATAGAGGCCAGATGAGGGCCAGCAGGGTTCTCTGGAGTTATAGTTACAACACGGTTGTCAACAGCTACCTAAGAGTACTGGCAACTGAATTCCTATCCTTTAAACTGCTGAGCCATCTCTCCAGCTCCCTAAAACTGTTACATTTAAAAATTAATATACAGCTATGGGGCTATAGTACCAGCAAATTAACATACTATCAAAAAAGGACTCCTCCTATTATGCAATGAAATATAGACAAATTGGTGTCATTCATTACAACTGTACAAAGCAGTCTTACCTTAATGCTGAATAGACACCCAAAGACAGAAATGAATAATCAGGATCATAGTACAGATACACAGAAGACACACAGTATGGGAGGATGTCTATCACCCCCACAGCAATGATCTTCCCATCAAGCCAGTACTGCTGGTGAAAAGAGCCATAACCACATTCTGGTCCATTAGCAGGGTGCTCTGCCTATAAAAAAGCAGATACAGAAACATCAGCAGGGAGTCACTTTCTTTATATTAAAAAGATCTCATAATCTAAGTAAGCTTTTACTTTGTTTGAGTTAATAAGTCCTAAAATTTGATTTGCTGTAACCATCATCCAGATAAAGAATGAGTTAGCATGAAAAACTCAATATTTAAAAATAAAGAGAAAAATGGGAAAGAGAAGAAGAGGGGAGGAGGGGGAGGAATAAGGCAAGGAAGAGAAAAGAACAAAAGAAAGGGAAAACATAAAGAGAGAAAGGTAACTAATGCGACCCACCTCATCCACAGGACTACACAAAGAAAACAGTAAGAGTTCATTAATCAGGAAATATGTGACACATTCCAACAGCTGACCAAAACCTTCTACAAGCTACAGGGAAGAGACGACACAAGCTGTTTAAAAACATCCATAAAAAGCAAAGCTAACAGTGTACTTAACAGTAAGAAACTGGATGTTTCTCTCTCTCCCCACTTGAGATTATGAAGATAGCCGGGTCCTATTAGTATCAGATTTATAGCCCTAGTTAATATAATGAGAGAGAGGAAGGGAATAAAGGAGCTGAGGAAGTAGGTGAGTGATAAGGTATTTGCCTGGCATTTGCAAGTCCTGAGGGAGAATGGCTGTGGAGAAGGGAACAAAAAAAAAAAAAAAATGGAGAGGAGGAAGAGAGAGAGGAAGGAAAGGAAAGAAAGGAGAGGAGAGGAAAGGAAAGGAAAAGGAGAGGGACAAGGAGAAGGGGATTAATTCAGAGTAAGGAAGAGAAAAATCAACCCTTTACAGATGAATTGACTGTAAAAACTCCCAAAGAATGGAGAAAAACTGTAACTAATAAGTAATTATAGCAAAGCGTAGACTGAAAGGTTAAGATGTGAAATTCAATTCTTTTCCTTTATAATAACAATGACGGGAATGTAAGATTAAAAACACAATGAAAAGAAAGCTAAGATTAAAGCTTACATGTATGGATTCTATTCACTGCAAAATACAAAACTTTGACGAAGGAAGTCAAAGAACCTAAATAAATGGAACAACACATTTTCAAAAAGATTTTATTGTTTATTTTAGCACTGTCATTATCTTCAGACACGCCAGAAGAGGGCATCAGAGCCCATTACAGATAGTTGTGAGCCACCATGTGGTTGCTGGGAATTGAACTCAGGACCTCTGGAAGAGCAGCCAGTGCTCTTAACCACTGAGCCATCTCTCCAGCCAACACATTTTTCTTGATTAAAACTGTTATGATAACAGTTCTTTTCAAGTTGTTGCACAGACAGTACAATCCCAATCAAAACTGCAGCAAGCCTATTGTCAAGAGTTTGAGAGGTCTTGGTGATGGAGTCATATACATGAAACATGAGCCCTTTTAGGGGATAAGACTGTTCTGTATGATACCATAATAGCAAAGACGACATCATGTTAAGGCAAAGACATCATGTTAAGCATTTTTATCAAAACTCAGCACTTTAAGTGAGAGTAAATATTAATTATGCAAAATTCTGCAAATCATTTAGAAGGTCTTATGAAGGCATATAAACTTAACAATAAAATGTAACTGTAGTACAAATGTATGGAAGAGTCTTACTGAAAGAGCTGAGTAGAGAAAAAGAGGTAAAATAACCAAGTCTGGAAGCGGTCTGTGAGGGTGAAAACAAAAGGAAGTACGTGTACTTACTACACTTTGAGAAAACTGCTTCCCATGGGGCACAGGTTAACAATTCTGACACTGCTGTATGTGTAACAAACAATTAAACAGACAGACAGCATGTGGTAGGGTTCTCACTGCTGTGGCTAGAGTGATCCAAGTGCTGATGGATTACAGCTGAATGTGAGAGCGCATGCTTGGCTTGCTGTAAACACAGATGGTTACACACAGAAATGTGCATACTCTAAGGATGTGCATATCAAGAGTTACTATACACACACATTCCTTTTTCTGTAAGCTGAGAGGACCTGAAAGAAACACCCAAGGAGAAATGAGCACACCCTACTACCAAGATCTTGGTACACTTTCTGCAATCAAAGAAACCAGTGCTAGAAGAAATGACTGACATTAGGACTGGGTAGAAAATACACAAATGAGCTTACTGGATCCCGGTGTCAGTACTCAAGCAACTGATCCACTCAGAGAAGCACAGGAGTTAACTGAGAGAGCTAATTTATTACTACACTATTTTAAGCAACAAAATAAAAGTGATCTATAACCCCGAGTATAAAATCCATGTACCCCTACTATGTATCACTGAAAAATAATAAAAGAACAAAGAGAAACTTCCCATGCAGAAAAATATCAAATTTACATAGATATTCTGCCCTGAAGCCAAGGAAACATAAGATGTGCATAAAGCAGGCCCGGTGTTGTTTTCTTTCTTTTGTTTCTTTGTCTTCTCTAATTCAATTGCCTGGTTCTCTAGTGTGAACTCTGTAGGTGACATCATCATGTCACAACATCAAAAAGGTCGGACATGCCCCGCTCTCCTCTTCCACGATCATTTCAATGAGATCAGAAAGAGCTAAGTCTGAAAATAACAGCCCCTTTTTTCAAGAAGCTCAGAAGCCCTTGCTAAAGAAGCATCCCCATGTTATCAATGCTTACTAACTTGAGAATACCACTTCATTAATGTGTGGCTATCACATGTCTTAAATCTCTTTAGCTAAGGCCTTTTGTCAACACTGCTCAACTGTCACAAACACAGTGGGAGAAAAAACTGCATATTACATATGAAAACACACTATTTGAGAAAAAAAGAAAGTAAAGGGCTATCTGCCTTAAAGCCACAGACATCATGTAAGGTAACAGGTCTCAAAACTCCTTTATACTTAGAAAAGTAGAGAGAACTCCAAAGAGTTCTAATGGAATACATTTACAGATATTACCAATTTATCAAAAGTGAGATTTTTAAAAATATATCTAATAATTCATTTAAAAATAACAATAAGTTCAATATATTTCATTCAGTCTGTGATAGGGGAAAAGATACTGCACTTTCCAAAACAAACAAAAAAAAACAATGCAAGAGGACAGTTACATGGTTCTGCATTTTTTTCAAATCTGTATCAGAAGACCACCTGAGTCTCATGTCTGCCTGTGTATTTAATCCACTGGCATCATGAAGCCTCTAGAAAAACAGCCTGTCGCCAGGCGGTGGTGGCGCTCGCCTTTAATCCCAGCACTTGGGAGGCAGAGGCAGGCGGATTTCTGAGTTCGAGAGTTCGAGGACAGCCTGGTCTACAGAGTGAGCTCCAGGACAGCCAGGGCTACACGGAGAAACCCTGTCTCGAAAAAAAAAAAAAAAAAGAAAAGAAAAGAAAAAAACAGCCTGTCCACTCATGAGGAAGTGAGTAAGGAAGACTAGCGGTATCTCAGCACTACGAAGACAGCACTGGTCTTGAGGATCCTCTGACACATGCAGCAAGGCATAAGCCACATTTTTTTCTGTCTTTAAAATACAAGGAGCCTACAAACTATAAGGTAAAAAACAAAAACAAACAAAAACCAGGACTTGTAACATTTGCCTTCTATTTCAGTTTTGAGAAACAAATGATAAGATACAAATAAAAGGAGACCAATAAGCAAACTTAGGCCAACTTTTGTTCAGTCTGAATGGTGCATTCCCAAAGACCTCGTGTTTACACAATTACAGTTAGTGGGCACTTAAGAGCAAAGTCATGTAAACTACAACTGCTACCTTTTATTTCCTTATTAAGTCCGTCAGTGATGGTGTTAGCAATACTTAATGTTTCTTTCCAAGTCTGCAGTTTGCAGTTTAGGTTGTGCAAAAGAATGAATCAGAAAATTTTCACAATATCCTCCGTTTCAAGGATTTAGCTGATAACAGGAAAAAATAATAAAGCTCTCCTCAGCTATACAAAAGAAAATTTACCTTGAATTCAGAGGAAAGATGGCTGAGCTTTGGTGATTAATGAGCTATACAGTGCAGTTTCCGATTCCAAAGCACCATGTAGTGATGACATGAATATTAATAGGCTAGTTCTCACTTTCAGCCAAACTGTTCCCCAAATGAGTGCTTATTTATCCTAACAAAATGCACCTGTCTCCTCACCCACCTGCCTTCCTGTGCCTCCATGATGCCCCAGACACGCTAGGCTCAGAGTAATTAGCAAAGAGGAAGTCATTTGAGAGAATTTTCCAAAGGGGCTAAAGGTGAGCAGGGGAAAGACTTCAGAGGACAGAATCGGAGTCCTCCTCCCTTCCAAAGCAATGCAAAGCCACCTCTCCCAAACTCCTCTGCTAGGACACAAAAACCTACTACTGATTTTCTTCTGAGTATATTATTTTACAGCTCTGTAGGGACAGAGGTTAACCTGGAGATTTCTTTGAGGGGAATGAATACTACCTAATGTTAGATAATTAGTAGTTGCTTTAGCCTATCTAGCAATCAAATCTCAATCCCCTATTTCATTAAATTATCTGCAAACGCTCTTTGAAACAATTTTAATGTCTACTGGTTTTATAGCAAATAACATGTCAATTAAGTCAGACATGTGTTTACAATGTCTGGGTAAGATTATTGTCTTATCTTTTTAAAACCTGTAGTTAAGAGCCCTAGAGGTCATTCTGTGAGAAGCTCAGATGAGCTCCCTGGATGGAGGATACAGGAGAAGCACTCAGTCACGCACCCTGGTCCTTACGCCCTAAAGTGGCTCCCATGCAGTGCAGCCACTGCTCGCTCTTGCTGTGTCTTCCTCTTTACTGCCAGGGTCTGCATTACCATATTCAGGACCAGGACTATGTTGCCACTACTGTACTAGGAGTTGGATCTGAAGACACATCTCTGCTGGATGGATGACGAAGAGTTATTCTCTTCTGAACAACCAAAAAATGGAAAATCTGGGTTTTTTACTATTTTTATTTGTGTACTTATAAATTTAATCAATTAATAAAACAGCTCTTTGTTACCTGAAACCACTGTGTTTGACATATTGCTAAAGTTACAAAACTGAAGAGTTTTTTACATGTCTGT